AAGCGTTTCCGCAAGATACGTGTTCCGCATCATTTTGCTATCCTCAATGTAGGTCCGCAAATCAGTATGCCGCGGCAACTCTCGGCCAATCCTGAATAGGTACGATAAGCCGTCATTAAAGCAAGACAAAGACACCACATAGCAAAGCCAAAGGGTTGATCATGTTTGTTTAAACTCAGACAGGTGCTCTGATGCGAATACAAGTGAACTCAACAAAACAAAACCACTGACTGTTCCGAATCTTTTTTTTGGAGAGGCAAAACCATAAAATAAAAGTATAAAAAAGAACAGAAGCTAAAAATTTCACACTTGTCGGCTAACCTGAAATACTCTGGGAGTTCATTCGAAGACAGCGGTGGAGCCTCAATAGTCATAATTGAAAGAGCGAAAAGACAAAAGAACGGTGTTTTCAACTAAGTATTTGATATCAATTTTCACAATAGGCAAACGGTTTGATTACAATTAAAGTAGAAAAAGAGACAGAATCTACAGCAATTTCTCGACAAATCGAGAAAACGAAAGTTCATGAATCAAACATACTTCAAGTAGCTCGACTTTGACTGGATTTACGCTTGATATTCGGGCCTCTAGATATTGACCTACAGATATGCGACGTGAAAGCGCTGATAAAGGCGTGAGCAACTGAAACAAATATGGCGTTTTATAAGACGTTTTCCTACATGATTCGTAACCTTCGACAAGTTTACGTCAAAACATCGGCGGTACAAACTAAGAAGCTGGAGAGCAGCCAAGCAATTTTATCATCTGCTCACGATTTTTCAGAATAATTTAAATTGGAGGAAAACAGTTACAACAGCAACAACAGCTAAAGCTAACAAATAATTTTTTTGACAACTTGGGCATAATTAGCCATTTGCTACCTAATAGTAATATTAAGGCTCATGAGAGTAGAGAGGGTATTAGATTTTGTATGTAATCTTTATTTTTCCCTATTATCTATTTTTGAAAGCCTGTTTATTGAGAATGCGCTTCAGCTAAAAGCTATTAGTCCCCCTATCCGCCCATAGAATTACAAAAAACCCTTTCAGCGCAGAAAACTTCCAATGTGTCCTTCCACTGAACTTATGACAGCGCTAACAAGCTTATGGGTATTTTGCATAATATGCGCCGCATTTATCATGATCGAATTAGAATCGAGCCGATAGTGGCTGGCACTTCGCGAACAGTTTTGCACGAAAATGTCCGGTACACCCACCTGTAAATCCAGCCACTCCAAATCACGTTTAATTCGTGTGGCAAAACATAAAGGCTTCACATATGCACCCACAATATCACATCGTTTGACTTTGACTATAAGAATATCACCAACTTGAGCATCCTCTTCAAATTTTGCTATCGCGCTGAAAAAAAGAAGAGTAAAGTTCAGGCCAATTGCACACAGAAACACCTAACCTCACACATGGAAAACAAGGAAAAATGGAAAAAATTTTTGAGTAATTCACAGTATTTAATTTGCGGCAAGAGGTAATCAACGAGTAATACCTATGTAAAATTATTAACTCAGAAATACTACATCATTTTTTGGCGAGATTTTGGAATAAGAAAGGTTATTCGATTCACGAATTTGACTAAAATTTGGTTTTTTCTCATTACAAATACTAAGAAAAGAGAAAAATAGTGGGGAAAAGGGGGAAATGAACATTCCAGTGGGTTATATCATAAACGATCCCAGTATTCATTGCTATGAATAGCTTTCTCGGATGTCATTGGAAGGGAAGACAATAGAATCTGTCGCTGAGACATCAACCCATAATTATTATAGGGATAGCTAGGTGACCTCACGAGGTCACACCACATGCTGTGCACCTAGATTTGAATGTGTTTACCGTGAGCACGATGTCTACTTCGAATAGATCGAAGCACTCAACTAATTAAGACATTCGCCAATGAACACACACGGTATGGAAGAAAAATGCTCCATATTAGAGGTGCGAACCCATTAGAATATGAACCCTACAGGAAATCTTATCTGCAGGTGTCAAGTGATTATAAGGGTGACAGTGAAAAAACCTTATCGTAAAATGTCGAGAGCAGTCAGAGGAAGCCTTTATGATTTTTTTTCAAACATTGGAAGATTTGAATTTTCAGAGTATCACAGCGAAGAGCATTGGAAAGGAGCAATTGAGATTGTTCGTCCCCAAAAAATGGTATACTAAACACCATTCCTTGAAGATCAAAATAGCTGGAAAACTCAGAACCGTATTGATAAATCGAGCAGGACAAGTTCTCCTGAGTTCCATCTCATATGCACAGCACCAAAGCAACATACGTGGTGCATCGGACCATGAAGTTACAGCAGGCGGACGATGAGAAACTAGTCGTTAGGGTGAATTCATTTGAAAGTTTTTTNTTTTTTCTGCTTATAGTGTATATGCAAAACCTCCCTCTTCTTCAAGGAGACAGTTGGGACCCATTATTGCGGGCCAAACGTCTTTAGGTAAGCTAACGTTTCGTTTTTTTTTTTCAATACCACTTTCATGAAAAAACAGTTAACAGTAAAACGAAGCACAATTTCCCCTCAATACTTTGAACAGCAGTCAGCTCAAATCTTTAGGATAGGCCTCGCGTCAAATCTTTAGGATAGGCCTCGCGTCCTTCCCCTGATGTTGACAGAAAGAGTCGATAGTGGTGACCGTCATAGTGAAGATTGAATTTAGTTAGTTGACATAATTAAGTTGATGAAATCAAAGCTGAAGGCAATACATTTAGATACTTTGCAACAAAGAAAACTTCAGAAATCTTCAAATATCCAAAACGATGAAAGCACAGAACTTAGTTACCTCGAGTCTGAAATTCGTTCAGCAAAACATTCATACGCAGGTGTCGTCGAGACTGAAGGCAAATCGAGTACCCTGTCCTCTTGAGAATTTGGTATTCCTTTAACAATTTCATGAGCCGCACACTTTATACTTCTTTTCTTTTCACGGCTACTACTCATCGCATAAAACTGCGATACTCCTGAAAAAATAAGTCAATATTCAAACTACGGGACGCACTTCTCCATTTACTATTCATACATTTCAGTCATTTTCAAAAGCCAAAAAATCAACTTATAAAAATCTGAACCCAAGGGAAACTCTCAGCTTTTGAAGAAGACAAAAAATGGAATGGAACTGTGAGCTACAACTATTTCTTCTGGGCACTTTCTTAGCTCAGAAGGCCTAGCTACTCTCATGGAATGGCAGTTTCAACAGAAACAACTTCGGTGCTGTGTTTCGGAACCATTTACTATTCCCAGTGAAGTTAACCGAAACTTTAGCGACTATCGAAAGCATTGTCAAAACCTAAAACATCCACATATCGATTTGCCTCCCAACGGCCTCTTTCTACTCTATCATGATTTATAGCCAGCATAAGTAGATTGCTAGAATTCACAGATAATGGAGGCCAGTACCAAAGCATTACTCATTAAAAAGAAATCAATCTGAATTTCATTCACATTATTTACAAGCAATTTGGTCGAACACAAATAAAGCCAACCATGTTGACTAAAATATCAGCTCAAGGAGCACATTAAAATCTACAAAAAGACTAGCGTCAATAAGAAAGACTACTATACATCAAGCATAATCAAAAGACAAATACAAACTGTAGAAATAAAAAATAAAGCACTATAATGTCTAAAATGCGAATGACAACCCATTAATAAGTGAGATTAACAAAAAGGGAAGTCTCAGCTGGAGAAAAAATTAGAAACTACTCAAATTCTCAGTAGGGTGATATAAAATGCCCAGAAAATGATGTATAGGGAATTCAACAAACGATAAACTATTGCAAAATCAGAATTTAACAGTGAAAGTAACACTGAGGCATGGCATCAAACGGTTGAACACGTGAAAGTTGAGACCAATTTGAAAAGCTGTTCTCAATTTGAGAAAGCTGGCGGAAATTGAAATACGTCACTATAAAGGGTTATAAAAACCAAAACCTCAGCTATTCTGGGAGAACAAACGCAACAAATAATATTAAAGATTACTCTAAATAGCAGTATAATACAATTTGCTTGTAAGCTACAGCAAAAACGTACAGAAGCGGCAGACACCCCACAATGATCGCAGCAGCTGATTGCACATAATATCGATTTTTCATAAACAGAACGTTGGCTAGCAATTACTTGAAAAATCTAGCCAATCTAAGCATTCTTTTTTGGTGCAAAAGGAGACAAGGAGTCAGGAAGGGCTTGAGGGAATATCGGACGAATGCCTTCCATTTTAAGCACACCCAACGCTCGTAATAACTGGTAGGTGCCGAATTCTGCTCTCATCGACGGCGACCACGTCTTGCTTTTCCCACGCCATTCTCCTCCCTGAAATACTCCAATCGGTTACTTCTTTTTACCAGCTTTACCAGGAGAAGTAAAAAAAAACTCTTCGTAAAGGCTTCTGCAGTGGTGAAAACCAAAGACAAAAGAGCAGAAAGCATCAAAAACAGTCAATTCAACCTCTGCAGCTACCCAGACCTGTGTGCTACTGTCCCATAGCCCTTGTTCTGACGTGAACCCAGAATCGTGAGCAGATAAAAATATCAATTATGGGGTGATTTTGAATTTGAAAACCACCAATATTTACCTTGGGAAAAAGATCGGAAACTTTCTTACGAGCTCCGAAATCGTTCGTAAATCTCAGCTCACCTTAACATTTGTCAAATTCTCCAGCTTGATCGCCTCTATAAGAGCAGCCTCACGAACGAAAGCCTCTTCATCGGAAACACTGTGGTTGATTTGCAGACAAACAACACCGTTTCCGTTTTTCCAGATTGAATCAATACGTTGAAGTTTCGCGTTTGAAGTCTGCAAGAGCGTTGGTTCTATGTACGAGGGGATCGATGTGAGTTATAAAAAAAGCACCGCATGAGAGGCCTCGATTCGACTGCTGGCAAACTTTCAAAATTACGAATAGTAAAACAAACGAAAAATGAATATATTAGATAAGAGTGCATGAGGTCACCCTACCAATTTCGGCGACTTCAGCTCCTTCTCCTTTTTCGCTTCGATTAGATGAGCTAGAGGGCGTGCCTGAAACGATTACTCTAAACTGTAGTACCACTGGTTATAAAGAGAAATAATATTAGATTTTACAAGAGAACACACAGTTACAATAGCCACTATGCTCAAGTCAAGCCTAACAATTTTTGGTTAGGCAAAGGTAAGGACCGGTTAGTTAGTAAGTAGCTCCTATCTACCCATACACACTTGAAGACAACCAACGAAAGGACCGATCATGTAAAATATAGTATTGAGCCTATTTTTCACTCACCTTTGAACCTTTCCCGACATAAAATATTGATTGCACGAAACTTTTCAGATCCATTGAATCCACGTCAACGCTAATCTTTCTAGGATCCAGGAGGAGATAGCAGAAGGCAGTCACACCGGCTAGTTGGAATTCTTCTCGGACCTGCATACACATAGAGCATAGAGAAGCATGTAGTATTAGACAGAAGCTATTGGGATCACAAACGTTGCAGACCTGGTCATCTAACGGTTTCCCTTTCTCGGCTGTTGATATATCCAACATTGCCATTTCCAACTGACGCGAATATTTCACTCCTTTCACAGTAGCTGCACCACGACGCATTGCAACCAATTTTTTCTCATACATCCCTCGCGTCCTAATTTTAAGAGTCGTTTCTTTTTTAAGGATTACGACGGCTTGAATGATTAAAAGCAGCACAAAATACTATGTAATAAAACCATCCATGGTCGTAACTAGAGAGTACCTATATTAAGAGGCTATTGCTAAATCAGAAATGCTCACGATAATTGGAGAATAGAAGTTTTTAAGAACGAAGAAATTGTATAACGATCTAAGAAAGCCATCCACGGAGCCTAGTAATATCGAGTACAGAACAAAATGAACCTACTCTAAAAATTCACACTGATAGCGCTGTTTACCACAGATACTATCAACCAGAACTAACTAATTTCATGCCGATTTCCGTGAAAATCACAATCTCTTTGATGGACAACTAAAATCAAGGTCACGGCCTCATTTAGACCTTCAATCCCGATAAATGAATACGTATTAGTGAAGGAGAGGAGCTTTTGGTGCAAAAGAGAATGTAAATGCAACAATATAAACAAAAGGCTCAGAAATGAGATAAGATGTTGTTAACCACTATCTTTGCTCACCTGGCACACATAGGCCCAGCTACAATGCCAAATTTCCTCAGCTCAGCTTTTAACTGGGCATCATTGAGGCGACGAACCTTTCGCAATTGACCATCATCAACATTT